ATTAATTGATTTCAAGACTTGAATAACGTATACTTATTTTGTGACCTTTTGGATATTCTCTTTAATAAGAGACTGCTATACTTCTTTCTCATTCCTTGATATCTTTGTCTCTTACTCTACTTATGTCCTACGTCGCTTGTCTAGGAAATGATGAATTTTTGTTTCAACTCATCTAAAATTTATTGCCATTTATTGTTGATACATTACTTCTATATATATCAAACTCTTCCTCATTCCCCTTCCTCAGTCTCTCAAATCTTTCTTATGTTATTTTTGTCATTATGTCTCTCAAAACATTCTATGGAAATAAAGAAGTCCTAGAAGTAATCACTGAGAAAAGGCCTAACTTTCCTAGACCCAGAGACTCAGGTTTGAACATAACTACCAGCATGCAGATTCAAGGATGGTCTGGTTACTATGCAATCTTGCATGGACCTATTTATCCTATCCTTGTGAAGGAGTTTTGGACATATGCAAGGGTTGGCAAAGATGACAACTCTATCTGGTCTTCTGTTTATGGAGTTCCTTTCATCATAACACCTACCTCCATTGCTGAAGCCATCAATTGTGTCCAATCTGGAGTCACCGTTGAAGATTTTCATCTGGACTACTCCTGTGATGAAAAACTCATTACTATTCATGATGATTCTCTTCCCATATATGAATCTTACAATCATGAAGGGTTCTTTCCCACTATTAAAGTGTAGTTTTAACTCTTGCTAACCAACTTTCGACCTCGAGGAGTGGAAAAAGATGTTCTGTCTCATGATGACAGACTCTTTATCTACTTTCTGATGTACAACGTCCGGGTCAACCTAACTCAAACTATCTTCAATCATCTGAAGTATTCTGTTGAGGTTTCCTGAGTTCAGCATAAGCCCTTCATTCTTTATGGAAGAATTTTGTCTGAGTTGTTCTTCAAGGCTGAAATTATTGGATTAGCCAAAAGACTTGGACCAGAAAATGCTACAATTGATGAAAAATGTGAAAGAGTTTATAAGGTGCAGGATTTTTGATGCTTGATGGGTGGGTGTTCTTGTTGGTGGATCAGAATTTGTTCTCTTAGTTTATGTGTTTTGTTAACCATCTTGTTTGTGTGTCCTGTTTTCCTTTTGTTTGGTTGTTTGAGTTGTTATCTTGTTTTACTCCTTGCTTATGTACTTTTGCGCCTCTAGTGTTAGTCCTTTTTTATCAATGAATATTATCCTTTTATTGCATCTATTGTATATTAATGCATTTTTTTTATTACTGACAAAGAGGGGGAGAAAGTATTGATTTTGATATACCTAATTTCTATTGAATCAAACCCAAACATTCCAAATATTTGCACTAACCCTTGTTTAAAAGGATATTATGTTAGTTGTTTTTCTTCCAGGAAAAATTTACTATATATCTGAAACACCTAAAAAACCAAAGCATAATGTATGAAGCCCAAACTCTGAAGATATGCTAGCTTCTTAAAGTTCTGAATCATCTTGAATGAGAAAATACATCAAAGATAATTCAAGTTTATTCAATTGATCGGAAGTAAAACTCATCAAAAGTTGATATGCGTTGATGTGTGTTAAATTCTTGTTAAAATGCTTAACAATAGTAAGGACAAGTTCAGACAGATAAACCAGTTCTTTTGAACATAAGGTTCATCTACTCCAACAAAAGGTTAATAAGGGAAGTGTTCTTTCATTCCGATTATCTTTTTAGAGTTGCTCATTTCATGGGGAGCTTTGTGCTTCTTTATGATACATGTTTTGGTGATTACCCAACAAAATTTGCTCATGAAAATACAGTGTTTTTGTCATCATAAAAAAGGGGGAGATTGTTAGAATAAGATTTGGTTATGCATCTGTATCTCTAAGTTTTGATGATAACAAGTCAATATTTATGTGAGAACAATTTTGATACCCTAACGGTTTATTATTGTGTATCTTTAGATTAAAGCTTTGATTCTCACTCTTGATCATAAAACTTTACAGGTTTCTGAAGATATTGATCTAAATTGCTTCTGCTCAAACTCACGAATGAGAAGCTTCTAAGGAAATTGTATGTTGCTGTTGCAACTTTCTCTTGGCTCTTGCTTTTGACGTATGAACCTGATCAATTCACTTTTGGAGACTACTCAAGCTTCTGAAGATTAAACGCTGAAGGTTTTAAAAAAATCTGAAGAATCTCAAGTCAGATATTGATGTGATCAAGCTTCTGATTGATGATTGAAGTTTATGAACTCAAGCTTCCGAAGATTAAACGCTGAAGGTTCTAAAAACTCTGAAGAATCTCAAGTCAGACATTGATGTGATCAAGCTTCTGATTGATGATTTAAGTTTCTGAACTCAAGAAAAATCAACTCTTCTAACTCATGCTTCAAGTAACGATTTATCTAGAAGCCACTGAAGAATAGAAGATAAGAACGAGTTTATACATGTGAAAAATAGTACATGGTAAAACCCAATATTCCTTCCACTAAGCGGATTTCATGGAGAAAGGAAATTGAGGTAGTATGATTCTTGTCCCCTCCGTATTAAATTGTTACTCAAGTCGCCAACTCATTCATGAAGAATACCAGATCTGCCCTCCAACAGATCTTTTTTATTGGCTATATAAAGACTTGAAGACTTGAAGAAACTACATATGCAAGACTGTTGTCAAAATTTGTGCTAAAATTTTCTTTAAGTGTATTATGTTTTTAACTTGTTTATACTTGCTTGTATAGAAGCAATATTTGTAAACACAACATTGTAATCAAACTATTGTTTGTATTTCCATAAGGAACCAGTTAGGTCAGGATCCTTGAGAAGACATAGACTGTGTGTCTTTGTGATTTGTTAGCCACTAGTGGTTTCTTGTGTAGTTGTAATCAGTTGATTATAGTGGATTAAGTCCTTGGGTATACGGAGAAATCACCTTAGAGGGTGGACTATATTAACTTTGAGATTTTCAAGTGAAATAGTATAAAAATCAAAGTGTATTTCTCTTTGTTGTTGAATAGTTTTGGTGTTTATTGAGTGAGTAAAAAGCTTTTGTTTTTTGAAATTCTGGTATCAGGTATCAGATGTCGAAGGCGATGTTACGACACTAATATCTGTTCAATCATCAATAAGAACAAAGACAAACATATAACAGACGTAAAACAACACATGCAATTGTTAACCCAGTTCGGTGAAAACACACCTATGTTTGGGGGCTACCAAGCCAGGAAGGAAATCCACTAAGTAGAATTAGTTTGAAGATATACAGTAGACTCTCTCTAGTTTACCATCTTCTCACCTAATCTCTACCCTTGAAATTTCTACCTAGGACACACCTAGATAAGAGACACCTCTCACTCCCCCTCAATCACAACAGTGATAACAAACAACAAATTAAGACTTTAGAAGACACTCTTCAAAGACACAACTTGATCTTGCTTAAAAGTTTCAATCAAGTACAATGCACTCTTGCTTACAAGCTTTGAGTGAAAAAATTACAACACATAACTTAGTCCAATTCAAACATTGAGGCAATGAGTGAATTGCTCACAAACTAACACAAAACGCACGAAAGCTAGAGCACTAAGCCTTACTTAATTACACACTCTTAAACCTAGCTTCTCTCATCTGAAATCTAGGGTTGCAAATTCTTAAATAGCAACCCATGGACGGGCTTCGGCTGTGGCAAAAGTAACAGCAGATTGTGAGGAGATCAATCTACATTAATCGTATCAATGAAACAGATTTGATTTGATCCAATCAGATTCAATCAAATCACTCTTCATATCTCCAAGATAATCTTCACACTACAAGAAAAATGATGGATTGCGACGGTTATTTTGGCAGGTTACGACGGTTAAAACCACCACCAATTACATTCTACGACGGTTGTAGTACCGTCGCAGAAACGTGTATCCCCAGGCTGTTTAGCGACGGTTGAAAAAACCGTTACACACAACCGTCGTTATATTTCACGACGGGCTTAAACTGACCTAAACTGGAGATAGCGACGGTTAAAGACCTTCGTTACTAGCCTTTTGATTTTTATTTTCATTGTTGATTGTGACGGTATAAAACTGTCGTGAACTCTATTTCACGATTGGTTAGAACTGACATAAATAGGAAATGACAACAGTTAAATACTGTCGTGAATATCCTTTTGATTTTTGTTACCATTGTTGATTGTGACGGTTTAAAACTGTCGTGAATGTGATATCTTGACGGTTCATTATTAATTTTTATGTATTGTATTATATTGTTTTATAATATATTCTTTTATTTAAATTATTATCTACTAAAATAGTTATATTATTTTTTCTTTAAATTATTTATACAATAATATTTTTAGACATAGTTTTTTTTATAATTTTTTTTCTATTGCTTTTTAGCGTAGTAAAATTAATTCCAAAACTTAATATCAAATAAACATTATAATATCGAAAAAACGTGAGTTTCATAATCATGTAAAATGAAAGTTCCATAATCATGTCATGTAATACAAAAATCCGAAAACATATCAAATCATAATCTTATAACAATAAGTATCATTGTACCAAAAATGAATAAAAAGGTTCATAATCTAGAAAATATGTCATTATGGAATTCGGTAGCTAGACTCAGATGAACGTCTACCATCAGTTGGTGATTCCAATCCCTGGAAAAAAATTGTATTAAAATAATATTCTTTAAAATAATACTCCGAAGCTTTAACTTTAAATTCATCAAAATAATATACCTGTCTCCCACTAGAATTTTGCATTTGCATTAAGACTTCAATTTCTTCTTTCATAGCATTGTCTCTTTGCTTTAAGAATGTGATTGCCTCCATCAATTCATCAATTTTTGAATTTTTTTTCTTTAAGTGCAATAATTTCTTGCTGAATTTCCTTTATTTTTTCATTTTCTGCAGAAGAAGATGTTGATCTTGTAGATCTATTAATATGAGATGGCGTAACTCCAAGTCTCATACTACGAACATATCCACGTTGTTCTTTTCCAAATACTTTCTGAAATGCCTCATTTTCAGACACAGAGTCCTTAATTGCAGCTTGTAACTTTTCCTGCACATGAAAAAGAGTAAATTGAGCAAGCAAAGATGACTTCAATATCTTTAACATGTTCAAAAACTTCATGTCCAGATAATGTTCTCGGTGGATTCCGTATTTCTTGTTCACCATTAAAGCGGATCCTGTTCAATCTAAATCTGTGTCTCCGATCAAGGAAACGACGATGACCCATAAAACACCATTTATGGCTAGCTTTAAGACAGAGAGGTGTAGTTTGAAAGTTACACGATGGGCAAGCAGGCCCTGTGTATGTGTTCCACCCAGAAAGTGCGCCCATACCTGGAAAGTCACTAATCATCCACATCAAATTTTCATGCAAATTGAACATCTCTTTCTTGAAAGAATCGTATGTATCCACACCATTTGTCCATAACTCTTTCAGCTCTTTGACTAAGGGTTGTAAGTAGACATTAATATTATTTCCTGGTGCTTCTTTTCCGGGAATTATCATTGACATTATAAATGATGTTTGTTTCATGCAAACCCATGGAGGAGTGTTATATGGAATGAGAACAACTGGCCAAATACTATTGTCTGTACTCATCACACCAAAAGGATTAAAACCATCACTAGCCAATGCAAGACGCACATTTCACGGATCTGATGAAAACCAAGTATGTGTCAAGTCAAATTTCTTCCAAGCTTCTGAATCTCTAGGATGCCTCAACATTCCATCGTTGTTAGCATCTGTTGCGTGCCATCTCATATCCTTGGCCGTCTTTGATGACAAAAATAATCTCTGTAATCGAGGTTTTAATGGAAAATAATGAAGAACCTTGGCAGGATTTTTTTTCTTTTTCTTGTTAACAAAAACCGCTTCATTTTTTTTCCATTTTGAAGTGTTGTAATTTTTGCAAGTCTCCCTTTCTTCATCTTCTCCCCAATAAAGCATACAACTGTTTGGACATGCAGGTATTTTTACATGATTCAAACCAAGTTTTGTGATTGATTTCTTGGCTTCATGGAACGAACCTGGAATGTTTGCATATTCAAATGCATCTTTAATTAATTCTAAAATCATTGTCATTGCCTTCTCACTCAATCCACATAAACACTTTATATGGTACAGCTTAACCAAAAAAGATAGTCTTGAATATCGTCTACACCCTTCATACAAAGGTTGTTCTCCTTCTCTAGTCAATTCATAGTACTCCTTGGCTTCGTTTCTTTCCTGAGTTGCACTTAGCATCACATAATCTTCTTGGCCAATCTCTAAATATGACGCAGATGGTATTTCATTAGCATGATACATATCAACTCCAAATGCATCATTGATCATGTTATGAATAGGATATTTGAAAATGATAGTATCTTCAACCATATTTTGAGTAGTACTAGGGGAGATAGTACTAGGTACAGCAAAGGACTCTCCATGATGAATCCACATGGTGTATCCCTGCGGAAATGGTGACCACATTAAGTGGTCGAACATGTCACTCCTTCTCTAGTACTCCTACTCTTTGATTTTTTGAAACCGCAGTGTTTGCAAGGGCATATTACTACGTCATTTTCTTTTGCACCTTTAAATGCAAAATCAATAAATTCTTTTATCCCTTGCTGCAATCGATGATTGTGGCTTAGTAATCCATGACTTATCCATTTCTTCAAAAAATAGACATAGATAGATACAACAGTAAAGTTCAAAAAAAATCCTATAAAAAAAGCAAACACTCTAAATACAAATATTTACAGCAATAGAATCAGATGCCATTAAAAGACAAAAGTTACACTCTAGCCTCATAATCACAAACTAATCAAAATGAACCCAAGACGTACATTTAATTTTAAAAAGGATATCAATGTAAGTATTGAAGAAAACCTTTCAAGTGTGATTACAGCATGTGGTGCTCTTTGGTATGTAAAATTTATCCACTTCTCTTAATCTATGATGAAGTAAAGTATTAGCTTTGTTCTATTATAGTATTGGTGATAAAGGAATCTACTCACTCATATTATGAGTCCATTGGTGTTTCCATTTTTTAATTGATTATTGTTGGCATTCTAGTTAATACTTAGGCAGAAAATATATATTTTTTCAAAATGGACGGGGATTGAAACATTTCTAGATTCGGTTATCTTCCTGTAGGATTGTTGGCAATGTTGCAAAAAGGAAAGAAAAAGTATCTCCTAAATATATTACCTGCCTGGGTACTATGATCACATATGGTAATTAATATGGATCAAATGACATCATGATATTCTATTATAAATCACATCCATAGCAAAACCACTTACTTCTAAGCCTTATAATTTCTTAGCCTTTCTCTTCGGTTATCTTCCTGTAAGATTGTTGGCAATGTTGCAAAAAGGAAAGAAAAAGTATCTCCTAAATATATTGCATGCCTGGGTACTATGATCACATCTAGTAATTAACCTGGACCAAATGACATCATGATATTCTATTATAAATCACATCCATAGCAAAACCACTGACTTCTAAGCCTTATAATTTCTTAGCCTTTCTCTTCGGTTATCTTCCTGTAGGATTGTTGGCAATGTTGCAAAAAGGAAAGAAAAACTATCTCCTAAATATATTTCCTGCCTGGGTACTATGATCACATCTGGTAATTAACATGGATCAAATGACATCATGATATTCTATTATAAATCACTGAAGGAGAGAAAATACTTAGAAGGGGGGTTGAATAAGTATGAAGATAAAACTTAGAAATAAAAACTCAAGTATTTTTATCCTGGTTCGTTGAACTCAACTACTCCAGTCCACCCTATCTAGAGTGATTTGCCTTTCTCAAACAAGGACTTAATCCACTATTTAATCAACTGATTACAATAGTAAGCACTAAGAACAACTGTTCAAAGTCTTCTCAAGAACTACTGATCCTAACTGGATCTTCTTAAGGTTCTTTTACAATCAAATGTAATAATAATACAAGTGTTAAAAATGCTTCTAATAAAGCTTTATCACAACTGTGATTTTTCACTTAAGATTAAGAACAATGAAATAATTCTAGCAAGAATGTATGAATAGTAAAAGATCTTTGTAATGAATTATTTTCAAGTGTTTCGTCAACTGAAGAAGATGGATGGAGACTTGCTTTTATAGGCACAGTGATCCAAGAGCTTTTCACGTTGAGAATAGTGTACCAAAAAGGTCTGAGCCTTTTTATCTTCACATCATGTGACCTTTCCTAGAAGACGAATGCACATAGAAATCCTTTTTTTCTGTGTTCTTGTGTCTAGCATAAATAAGGAAAGAGTCGTTTGGTTATTCCAACGGACATAACTTTGAATTCTTCTTCAACAATTTTCAGCAAGAATCATCAGAGTCTAAATTGGTCAGAGCCTTCTGATGTTCATCAGAGTTTGCTGAATCAGAGTCTTTGCAGCAAGTGTGCTTTCAGCGTGTATAAGTTCAGAGCAGAGTTTTGGGTCAAATCCTCAGTACTAGCAGCGTTAGTACTTATCAGAGTCTTCTAAAGTAACTTTGCTTAAAAACTCTTCATACAAAATTCTTCATTGCTTCAGATGCTTCTGGCTTCTGCTTCAGATTCTTCTGTAGCTCCTGTTTTAGATTCTTCTGGAGGCAGCGCTCAGAATATTCTGGAGGCAGCGTTCAGAATCTTCTAAGAGATGCTTCTGACGCTTCAGAGCCTTGCATATTTCTTATGTTCAAATCTAATTTGCTTCTGGAGTGATATTTACTTTAACATCTGCAGCAAACATTCTCAAGCAAATTTTAGAGTTTATAATTCTTTAATACAAAATTTCATAATAGTTATCATCAAAACATAAAGATATTATTAAGAACCAATCTATGTTCTAACAATCTCCCCCTTTTTGATGATGACAAAAACATCAGAAATTTTGTTCAATAGAAAGTAAAATAACTATAACTCCCCTTGAGATAATGAATCTCCCCCTGAATTGAATATTAATAAGGAATAGAAACTTCCCTTTTTGTCTTGAGTATTCTTTTCAGAATTAGAGCTTGAATGTTCTAAACATTGGATCTTGCATGTTTCAGAGTCAGAGTCTGATAAGTTAAATATGATGTGGGAGTCTCAGAGTTTCTTTTAAAGAATATGTCAGATTTATCAAACATTCTGGAACACTAAGAGTTTACATTAGTTATAATTGATATGTCTGAAGTTTCATTTAGGTAGAGTTTATTTAAACAGTCAGATCTATTTTCTCCCCCTTTTTTGTCATAATCAAAAAGTAAAAAAAACTGTAAAAGACAAATAAAAGGAAATATAGAAAAGATAGATCATGTAGAGAAGAACACTTAATCATTCATTCATATAGAGCAAAAGATACAAAACATCAGATAAACAACAAGTACAGGTGCACAAACAACAGACAAAAAATAAACTAAGTTTGTTTGGACAAAATCATCTTCAACAGATTAGTGATCTCAGATGAGGACTATTCTTGCTTTGACATCCACTTAGCCATGGTTTCATTCTTCTGATCTTGTTTGGACATCCATTGAGCCATGTCTTCAGACTTCTGATCTTGTTTGGCCATCCATGACTTAATCTCAGATTGACCAACTTCCAGAACTGCAATCTTATCTTCAAGATCTGGATTTTCTTTCTTGACCTCAGATGAAGAAGGTGGAGCAGAGCCTGAAGCAGGAACATAGTCAAATTCCATAGGAGATGCAGAGTCAGGAGCAACAGATCTAGAGGGATGTTCTGCAAGAATCATAGCCAGAGGGTTTTCTTCAGATGCAGACTCAGTAGTCACTTCTGTATCACATACTACAGAGGATGAAGGAACATCTTCAAGAAGCAATGGTTTAGATCTTTTAACAGTCCAGAGCAAGCTTCTAGCAGTCTCAGCAAATCTGAGCTTCGCATCATCAGAACATACATTCTTCAGATTTGAGGCTACCTTATTGAATCTGTTGATGAAGCTATTCCAGATAGCATCAGATTCATTTGCATCCATTGTTGATAAGCACTTCTTCTGAACAAAGCCTAAATGTATCTTTATTTCTCTCATAAAACTTGTAAGTAAACGATCAACATTCAGCCTAGTTTTTGGTTTCAGAAGAGTTTCCAAGGTGACTGGCTTGGGTTGAGGTGAAGGTGGAATGGTGAATTTTGGAATGATGACCATATGGCGAGGGTAGAAGGGTATGGATGGAGAATCAGATGAAATGGCAGTTTTTGGTCTGATTAAGGTATTCAGCAAAGATGGTTTTGCATTTGATGCATAGGAAACAACATCAAATGTGGTAGAAGTGTAAGGAATGAAAGCAAATTTATCATATAAAAGAGATTCTGATGAATTCATTTTTGGCAGTTCTTTTATATATGTTTGGAGAACAGATGGTAGAATGATGGAAAGTTTGGGTTTAACAGGAGCGATAGTGTCAAATGGTTCAATTCTGGTGTAGAAATTTTTGAATTTGAAACCAGAGGGAAGTTTGTTAGAGGAAAATGGTTTACACGAGGTAAAGGATACACACTCAGATGTCCTTGGCTTAGG